AGCAGACCAGGCTATACCGCCAGAATGATGACGGCTCCTTGTGGAAGGAACCAGTACATGGGCACCTTGGCCGTGGGCCTGATACCTCAAATTCTGGAGGCACGAAACGAAAACGCCACCGCCGATCAAATTTATCAACAGTGGGCCCTGGGCCAGCGTTTGACGTGTTTTGGCCTCGTTTTCTTGTGGCGACATTTTGCGGACTGCAAGGCTGGGGCCATGCACTTGCGGTTTAAACCACCAATACTTCCGGGGCACTTTTCTCCGACACTGGAAATGCGCTGTGCACCAAAAAAGATCGAACCGGCGCAGCCTTCCTTTGACAGGTGCTGCCAGCCATTTTACTCCGGTACTCGAGAGTCGAGGCCCGGAGTTGCGACGTGTATACGACAAGGACCCGTGCCTGATGTACATGCCAGTATGTTTCCCTGCTTGAAAACAAAGATGCGTCTCGTTTATGGCTGCAAGATTCGGTGAAGTACAGGGGCGCTGCTTGGCTGAATACTCATCCCGGCAAACCCCGCCTCACATGAGGCCCATTTTGCCTGGCTGGATATCCAGCAAAACAGCACCCCGGTGCTTCCTGAAGGTGGTGGCCGTAAATGCACCACCGCACCGAAAAAAAAACTGGGAACCGTACTGGCGGCTTGAACCACAAGCGTGCCCGAACCTACTTTAACGAACCTACGTATCAATATCCAGCCCTTGACCCCCAAGCCTCTTTTCACCACGACAGTTGTTTTACCGGTGTGAGTAAACCAACGCGGACAGAGTCGGCCGCTAAAGGGATGCAGGAGGACAAAACATTGGAGAGAAAATTGGTGGGAAACATAGGGACACACACATCCATCAATCCACTCTGTGCTGGTGTGAGTAAACCAACGCGGACAGAGTCGGCCGCTAAAGGCATCCGATGCAGGAGGACAAACCACTGGAGAGAAAATTGGTGGGAAACGAAGGGACAAACACATCTATCAATCCACTCTGTGCAGCTCCCCACTAATAGATGGAGCCTCCCTGGGAGTCGCTTGAAAAAAAAAAAGAAATAAACAGACAAACAGAATGATGTGAAAGTGTGAAAAAAAATAAAAAAATTGGCAGACAATTTTGTCTGTGGCTCTCTGCACTGTAAGGGACAGAGGCATGGGAGGGCACACTCACACTGGGACTCTTGCAACTTATCTCTGGACGTAGTTGCGGTCAGGTGCATCCACAGTTGGTCAACAAAACAGTCCGGTACATTCTTTTTTTTTTTTTTTTTTTTTTTTTTTWTAAAAGGGCGATGGCCTTGATATATTACATTGAGCTGACCGGCCCCAAGCAATTCATTACTAGTTGGTTTTACTCGTCAAGTTCCATCATCTGGATCCGAACACAGGACCTGGTCTGTATTTCAACAGTTCACGGTACATTCAGGAAAGTCCTTGTGAGAGGTTGCCCTAACTGTGTCACTGATGTACTCTTTCCTTTGTTTTTCCTTTTTTTGCTCATGCGCCATCTATTCCTGGGGGCGAAGTCCGGTTGCTTAGGCTTGTGCACCGCTTCACTCTCTTCGGAGAATTTCCTTACCTATCTCAGTTTGAGTGCGGCGTGGTTTCCATAGTTACTGTAATCGAGCGGGAACAAAAGAAAAAAGGGCAACGGCTTGAGATATCATCATAGAACTGACCGGACCTGGGTAAGTCAGAGCTGCAGTGTTTTACTCATCTGCTTCCTGTGGAGTTCGAACTCGAGTCTGTGTTTCAAAAGTTCAGGGATTCATGGGTGTGCCAACTGAGCTAGGCCAGTTGGTCCATAGTAAAATTTGGGCCTCCACTTACTGGCCCTTCTGGGGCTATTAAAAAAATAATTATGGCGCCTTGCGACATGGGAAACATTTGTGCAGCAGAAGTCTATGGGCCCAGAATCAAGGCACAAGTACACGGCCCCAGCAGTGCAGCAAAACAACTTGTCGACACAAGCGACAAATTGGAAGGTCGGAGCAGGGTCGGCGTGGCGCTTTCAGAACAATTTTGGGCCCGTGCGGGCCCACCCACGGACATGTTTTTGTCCATGGCTGGCAGTAAGGCCTGTCGGCCTTCCGGTTGTGCGGAAGACCGGTCGCAGAATGAAAAAAATATAAATAAAACAAGTGGACCCGCCGCGGCTCCGCCCGCGGCGAGAAGAGGTCCCCCTCCCTCTTCTCGACTCCCATCCCGACTTCTCCCTCTCCCCATCTCGACCTCTTCTCCGAACCTCTCCCCTCAGATGTTATCAACATGTTGGTGTGTATGTGTGCCAAAAGAGAAAAAAAGAAAAAAAGAAAAAATCAACCTCTCCCTTCTCCCTTTCCCCTTTTCCTTCCTCTGACACCCTTCCCCTTCCCCACCTCTCCCCCTTCCCATCCCGACCTCTCCCCTCTTCCCATATCCCGACTCTGATCCCGACCTCCCATCCTTCGCCAACCTTTCCCTTCATTGCCTCTCCCTCTCCCCTATCCCAATCACTATCCCCCCTCCTCTATCCCGGGATGGTCCCCTCCCCCTTCTTGACTCCCATCCCGACCTCTCCCCCTGCCCATCCCGACCTCTTCTGCCAACCTCTGCCCCCTTGCCTTCTTTCGCCTACCTCTTCCTCCATCGTCTCTCCGTCTCCTGTATCCTGATTCCTCTCTTTCTTTCCTGTCTTCCAACGTCTCCCCCTCATCGCGTCTATCTTTCCCCTATCGCGAGCTCTCCCGACTCCCATCCCGACCTCCCATCCCAACACCTTCCCCCTTTCCTCTATCATCTCGACCTTTCCTCTATCATCTCTACCTTTCCCCTATCCCGACCTCTTTCTTTTTCGGATGCCCTTCCCCTTCCTGACTCCGATCCCGACCACTTCCCCTCCCCATCCCGATGTCTCCATCCTTTCCCGTGTCCCGACTTCCATCCCTCCCTCCTCCCGACTCCCATCCCGACCTCTCCCCCTCCCCATCCCGACCATATCCCGACTCCCATCCCGATCTCTCCCCCTACCCATCCATCGCCTCCGACCTCCTCTATCGGTCCATCGCGACCTTTCTCCTCCCGACTCCCATCCCGACCTCTCCCCCTCCCCATCCCGGCGTCTTCCCCTTTTCCTTCCTTCGTCTCTCTCCATTCCCGACTCCCATCCCGACCTCTCCCGATTTTCTTCGTGCTAGATCCCTCCTCCCTCCTCTATCCCGACCTCTCTCTCCATAGATCCCTCCTCCCTCCTCCTCCTTTCCGCCGTTCCCTCTCCTCTTCTTTCCTCCTCCTTTCCGTGGGGTGCCACGTGGCACACTGGTGTGCACGGCCAAAAAAAAAAAAAAAAAAAAAAAAAAAAAAAA